GGTTTAGGGTTTAGGGTTCAACTTACTTTGATGAGCGGAGGAGGAACACTAATGGGAAAGGTGTTTTCGACATGACTGCAAGCAGGGATCAGGATCTGAATGCCTCGAAGAGGCATTAGATGGTTGAATATTGCCTCAATGACGAGGAAGAATCAAATGGAAAAGAAGAAAATCAAATGGTAACTATTATACATGGGGGTCCGCGCAAAATAAAATGGGCCCAAGGTTTCGGGCTTAGGGTTTAGGGTTCCCTTCTTACTCCCTGATCGAGACAAAAGACAGTGACAGTAAGCGAAGACATCCTTACATGAGCGTGAAAGAGCCCTAAACCCTAAACCCTAAATGCACGCAGAGCGCTGGTGGTATGACTTTTTCGGGGCCAGGCCAGACCACCTCCTGTTCAGCCCCCGATGTAACCCTTACATGTCCCTGAATATTCCCTACATGACCCCAACATATTCCTATGTAATCATATATAGTCTCCACAACTTCTGGTGGTAGCTGTTGCTGTACTGGTATTGTTGTTGGGTTTTGTCGTGCAAAATTTGTATTTACAAAGCGCAGCAAAACCAGCAGGTGAACCATTCAAAGCAGCAGAAAGCTAGGTTCAACTCAAAGCCATTGGGCCTCTGTAACGTACAGGCACACCTGATGATTGTGAATGAGTCCTCAACCCATCTGCAAGAATACCAATTTTCTTGCTGCTTTCTTAGGACTCAGACTCAGAGGGCTTAGGATTTAGGGTTTAGGTTTTAGGGTTTTCCTTGATGTTTTCCACCCAGTCTAGCCACCACCAGAAAAGAGAAGTTCAGCGAGCTGCATGAGGGCTTCCATGAAGAAAGGGCCCCACCATAGACCCCAATGCACTATACAATCCTTATCACGAAACCCTAAACCCTATACCCTGAACCAAAAAAACGGGGGCCTTAAGGTTTGGAAACTTCAACCACTACGTCTACCTGCAGACTTTGATGTGTCATTTCTACTATCGTCAAAACGGCTTAACCTGGGTTGTATGGAGTATTATATTTAGGGGATTACTACAGGGGTTACTAAGGGAGATAGGAGGAGTTTAAACTGTAGCTCATACACCCCAAAGAATCCCAGATATCCCTGTTAAACCCCTCAGCAGGTGTTGCATAACTGCGCCTTGAGAGGACTACGTTCCGGCATGTTTTAGGGTATAGGGCACCGTCAACACGCAAGGCTCGTTTTGGTGATTGAACCAAGTAAGAGGATATCTGCCTTTATTTTTAAAAAAAAACCGAAGTCAGCACGATGATACGGTGGATGGAAGAAATCTTGCACAACTTAGCGACCCCAAAAAATCGTTTGGGTATGGGGTATGTAAGGTGGTGCAAGATCTCCTCCATCCCTAGACCCCTCAATTAGGGTTTAGAGTTCAGGGTTTAGGATTTAGGATTAGGGTTTAGGGTTTAGGATCTTAAACCCTAAACTATATTCTTGCCTCATCGAAGATAATACCCCACCGTGACGCTGAAAAGTCCCAGGCCCCAGACCCTGAACCCCAAGAGTCCAGAATGGAGGCCCAGTTTGCTGAAGCTGCCTCTCAAAACCCTACATACCCGTACTATTTTTTGCTGGTTGAACCCGGGAAAAGATTTTATGTTCTTCATACAAGCTATAGTCTAAACTCCTAGTATCCCCCTTCATGACCCCATAGTAGCCCCTATATAATCCCCTATCTAACCCCCTTTAAAGAGTTTAGGCTACAGTATCTGTATATCCCTAATGAACCCTGTATATCCCCATACAAGCTTTGAAGAGAATCCCTCCGCGCCGCAGCCTACGAGCTGCTCATAAAGTTTAAAGGTTTCGGGTTTAGGGTTTAGGGTTATAATACTTTCCAGGCTTGAAATGGAGCCATTTTGGGGATCCGTTCTATGTAAACAACCAGTTGGGGTGAAGTCGCCCTAATTTGGGTTGCTGTTTAGGAACTTGAATTAAGTTACCGTAATGGGTATATATCGTAATATGGGCTCCCCAATATGGTAACTTAAATTACTAATAGCAACCCAGTAATCTTATTTCACGGGGAAAGTTTGAAGGTTTGGGGATGACACCTGTTTCAGAACCCATAGGGTTTAGGGTGTAGGGTTGGAGTTTCCAAACATCAGAGGCATAGTATTTGAAATTCAACAATTTGAGGGTATATGAGGAGCCAACTCAGGGGCACAATTAGTCATTGTAAAATTGGTTTAGGGTTATAGGGTTTAGGGCAACATTCTGAGGGTATATGAGGGGCCAACTAATTATTGTTGCAAGCTTCCCAGTCTTCGTCTGACTCCGGTGCCACGCCTCCTCGTGTTGGTGGAAGCAATTCTGCGCCGCTTCAAGCGCCTCGATCTGGGGATTTCCCGCAATTTGGGAATCCTACCCGCAACCCTAAACCCTAGGCCCCAAAAAATGAACAGTAGAAGCGGGTTCTCATCTTACTCGACCTTGCTGGCAGGATCAAGCTATGACATGAGCTATAGTCTAAACTCCTAGTATCCCCCTTAGTGAGCCCTACAGTATAATACCGAAAGTACTCCCCTATATAACCCCCTTTCAGGAGTTTAGGTTGTAGCACACATGAAGACCAGCCTCCTGCGCAATCCTACACACAGAACTCGTTAATCCTCCATCTAGTGAGGATTTAGGAATCTTGAGCTTGTCCCTAAATTAGGGTTTAGGTTGTGCCCTAAACCCTAAACCCTACTTTAGGGTTTAGGGTAGATACCCAGAACATGGTTCGTCTGGATCATAGCGTTTCTGAAGGCTCTTAGGGGCTTCTCCTCCCCAAGAAGGCCTTTGTGAAAACCTCTGAGGGCCACATAGGGTTTAGGGTTTAGGGTTTAGGGGCCAAGATGCATAACTGCCACTATTGCTAGATGATATTTCTGATGCCTGCTGGCCATCTGAGGCCAACACAGAAGCGCAGGCTACCACGTATTCTTGACAGCAGCTGTACTTCCGTCCGGCTAAAGCTGAGCTGCAGTAATGGAAATCATGATCCTCATTGTTACAATGTATCATCTAGGGTCCCCTTAACAGGTTATATAGGGGATATGGGGGGGGGGGGCTATACAGGCATAAAAAAGGATTTGGGGGTTATTGGTATCCCCAAACCCTAAAACCTCAACAACAACAACAACCCCAAGCCTATACATAAACATACCAGCTGTCCAACCCCTTTATCCCCTTTAAAGGGACCTATATGTGTATGCATATGGGCTATAATCTAAACTCTTAGTGTCCCCTGAAAAGATTCTTTATTATTCCCCTAAGTAATCCTCTATATAAACCCCCTTTAAGGATTTTAGCCTATAGCTCATATGTATCTACGTGCCTGCGGAGCTAGGCTTGCCTATCTATGCTAACCGGCTGCCAAGTGACGATGGACAGCTCTTGCTAGGGCTTACTACCATTACTTCGGCCGATTTTGGACTTTGAAATTTGGATGTTCTAAAATTAAGGAAATGTTGGAACCCTAAGAAATGGTAACTTCATGTCATATGGGCTTGAACATTTAGGGTTTAGGGTCTATGGTTTGGGGGTTAGGGCTGAAGCTCACCCCCTATGCTGCTTCGAAGCCTGCAAGGGGCCTAGCGTCAAGGATTTCCTTGTTAATTATGGCGTAGGGTTTAGGCCAGAGTTTAAGGTTTAGGAGGGATGGAAAGCTTCTTGCACCACCTTATTTACCCTATGCCCCAGTATTGACACTATTTTGGGGCTTCTAAGTGGTGTAAGATTTCTTCCATGCACCGTAAAAAAAAAAAAACAGCATGATAGAATTTAGTACGTAATCGTGGCTAATCGTATACTATACCGTAAAAATATAATGGTGTACTTGTTATGTTACAGTTTATTTTTGTATATAGCCCTTTCCTTGCCAGTTGCGAACGAAGATTGGAATACCATCTAAAATGGTTTCTGGCAGAACCTGCACCATCAATGCATTTGCCTATGCATGGCCAGGGGGGGGTTACGCGCGGAACTATGCGGACTTCCAGGAACGGCCTCAACACTTTTTGGTACCCAAAACCTCGATGATGTTTTCCAGTTTCTTTTCCGTTCCCTAGACCCGAAGCCAGCTGGCACTTGGTTTGAAATTCTTCTTTCCTGGTTTGATATTGTATTAATTCTGCCATCTACTATAGCAACATGGATTGAAAAAAATGCGAGCATCCGTTCTTCTCAGAAGCCGAGAAGTCAGCATCCAATGAATTGGTATTGCACACCGGCACAGATTGAACAACAGAGCTTCCAGCCTTCCAGACGGCAGGAGCCCACCTGACGTAGGAACTACTTCAGCCCTATTATTATTACTTTACGCACGATTATTACTATTAATCCTACTCGTACAGTGATAACAATTATTTCTATCTTACTATGGCTACTAAGCCCCTAACTGAGTGGGTGGAACCCTCTGGTTGATGAGGGCATGGCTCTGCAGCTGCTCGACATGTTTAGCTCCACATCCTCTCCTCCTCTCATTCTCAGCCCCACGGCATGCCCTGAAATCCTTACACCATTCGTTTCAAGTTGTTCATCTGCAATAAAGCCTCCGAACTGGTGTTGGAACCAGGATATCCCTGGCTTCAACTTGTACCTAGCTAGTGCTCACCTGTGCCATCGTGTTGCCGGACCGCCTGTGAAGGATCTGCTCGGTGTCATGCCATTGGTGTCGCCTGCACGTCAGCACGCAAGGCAAGCTTGCGAACGGGGCACGCATGCATGTATGAATCCCGCAGAGCAAAAAGCCTCATGCTTGTCTGCATTTTAACATGTTAGCTTGAATACTCGTGCAACAACTGCACTTCCTAAGGCTGCGTGCGTGCCACGCGCTTCCCAGCTGCTGTCGGCATGTATCGTTTCTGTGCAGACGGCCCTTTTGCGCTGTCATGCAACTGATGCTCTGTCTCAGAACAGGTGAGGTCCCTAGTGCCCTAGTGTGCAAGGCGTGCATCAGCATCAGGCGCTGGCGATGTGCATCAGCGACAGGTGGTTGAGCCGGTCATGAAGTTGTAGCTGCAACAGGTAAGCATCAGTGACACACCCTCAGTGCGTTTACATGCGAATGGCCCCATGTGCTTGCCAAAGACGCATTCCTTGCCACTTCCATCCACGGAAACCTGAGCCACACCCCCTACCGAGATGCCGATGCTGCAGCCGCTTGTTCCACAGCAGAAGCTGCCCCCGACGCCCAAACCGATACGGGCTCCGCCGGTTCCAGGGCCAATCGAGATGCCAAAGCCGATGCAGACAGAGGCACCGGGCTTGCTCTCATGCTGGATCAACTTCCTCAAGTCAGCCCCAGAGCCTGCTGTCAGCCCGAATCCTCCGCCGGCATTGGTCCCAAAGGCTTTCCCGTAGCCGATCGAAGAGTAGCGGCTCGTTTTGCCGAAGCACTCAAAGACGCTCGCCACGAAGTCCGCCACGGCCTGCCACAATCCGTGATTCCACACCCGTTTACTGGTGTGCATCCGGAAACCAACCCATATGTATATGTATATATGTATGTGTATATATATATATATTCACAAATACAACTACATATATACATATATATATATATCATATCTAGACCAGGCTCCAAAGAAAACGCCGGGTCCCGACTGCACCAGAGCCCACAGTAAGCATCTACAAGCCTCGTGTAGCGTTCACATTGCTCAGCGAAACTCTACAGAAAAAAGACCATTTTCAACCGGCCTTCACCACAGCCTTCACGACATTGACGACGGCCTTGACGAGTTTGCTCCACCACCTTCGGCGGCTGCGTCTTCTTCTGCGGCTCCTTCTCCTGCGCCGACGGCGCCGACG